TACGTTCGATTAAATCTGATTGATTTCTATTTTCTCTACCTATGATTTTCCTGTTTGTCGTAAAGTGGAAACGAAATCAGCTGGTCCCGAGGATTTAGGAGCTGCTTTAAAGGAACGACTCGAGGTATGCAGGAGGATAAAGGCGACTGCCGAGAGCGAGGGTAATGCTTCGAAAGCTCGTAGATACGGGCGTATTTGCAAACAATTCGAAGACGCTATCAAATTGCATACTCGCGGGAAACCTGTTCCTATCAGTGAATTACCTACTCCGCCTGGATTTGAACCTCTTACGGTTGCACCTGCTCCGTTACCGGATACGAGTGAAAAGCCTTCGGCGCCAGTGCCAGAAAATAAACCACAGTCCGAACCATCCGAAAATAAAAGGCCGAAGGCTCCTACTCCACCTTCGAGAACACAAATAGGTAATAAGTTGTATAATATCGGGTTGGCAAGAAAGTAATTTCACAAATTCACAGCGAAATTACTTTCTTGCCAATAATTTGTTGTCTAACAGACAGTATGTAATCGAGATTTATTAAAAATTAGGAAACCGCCCGAATCAAAAGTCGCGCGCGGATAAACAATTAGCTTTGTTGCAACAACGTCAGCACGAGTTGAAACAAGCCGCGCTTAACGCGAAGAAAGAAGGGGACATAGAACTGGCTCGTAATTATCTGAGAGAAGCGAAGAGGATGGATCCGTTGATCGAAGCTTCTATGGGCGGCTTGCCCGTTGATATGAATTCCATTCCACTATCACCGAAATCGAAAGATGAACTTACCGCGGAGAGCATAGGTGTGTCGGATGATGGGTTTACAGTTGTAAGCTCGGAAGATTTAGATGAAGCGAGCGGAACGGATGAAGAAATCTACGAAAATCTTGGCGCACAATTAATGAAACAAATTAAGGTAAAGCGAGTGCGATACGTGCAATTATTTCTGAAGAATCTAAACATTGAGATATATAATTTTATCGCAGTCGTGCTTATGTACGAGAGATCATTGCAAGGCGTTGGGCGATGTGCCGGGGTACAATAAATGGGAGCGACTTGCGTTGAATTATAAACGGGATTTAGATATGTTAAGGGTTCGAAAGCGCGACGCATTGCCACCGCCGCAGCATCACTACGAGACGAAGACCCATACGATGGTTCAGTTAGTATTAAACTATTTTTTCTCTAACGCTCGATTAAATTGTTATTTTATTGTAATCGGCGGTGTGTCTGTATTTTACAGGAGTTGTACAGATTTAAGCGACACAGATATAGAAATTTCTATAATAAGGGGCGTGAATTATCCAAAGGATGCTGACACTTACGTCATGTTCGACTTTCCTTATCCTTCAGACAATCCTCCGTCGGATCGGACGGCTACTGTTAAAGGAACATCCAACCCAGAGTATCAAGCAGTATTTTCATTGACTATAGACCGGACATCGAGGCCGTGTCAACGAGCATTCAAGAGGCATGCGTTGAAATGCCACGTTTGGTCCAAAGGGTAATGAATAACAGAGCACAAACGGTATTTTCATAACACGCGACATTTTTATAATACTCTTAGAATCTTCCTAATTTCGTTTTTCTTTATAATAAACTCTAATAATAACACAAAAGTCTTTTTGCAATATCCATTGCGTGATTCTTATAAAGTTTCTCATACCAGAAACGAATTGGGAAGCAGAATTGCTTTGAACCGTTTCCGTAAAGTGGCTTCTGATTTGAGAAACTTCATACGAATCACGTGGATATTGCAAAAAATGGGAGAAAGTTCTTTTTTGGACAAATATTAAAAATAGTAAAAAGATTAGTACGTTGATTGCAGATGCTCGCTGAATCCCATCCTGTGTTGCACTAATCCAAGGTATGAGAATTTTGAACCAGAGATAATATGCTATCTTTCATCGCTTAATTAACTGATCGAAAAGCTTTCGATTACCGTTTTGTCCGCTTTTAATATTGTTTTTTTTTAAACATACATTCGCTTGTGATGTGAAGCAGAATAAGTGTATGAAAAAATATTAAAGTTGCATTATCTATAATTGACTGTAATCAATTAACTGTACACACGGTTTATAGTACGTTTTGTATTGCACGAGCAGGCTGTAACAACGTAATTCTCGTCTATCTAAAAGTTGCGATATCCTTCTTGTGGCTCGTATTGTGCAATTTGTATTTTTTTGTTTTGCAGAGGATTCTTTAGAAGCGACAGTCTCTTAGGTACGGTGACGGTGAAGTTACAGCCTCTCGAATCACAGTGTGAACTTCATGACTCGTTCCCGGTAAATAATAGAAAGTCAGATTTATTTGTGTAAGAGTGTGATCTGTGACATTAACAAAAATTCTGCATCGTTGCAGGTGATGGATGGAAGGAAACCGACAGGCGGCAAGCTTGAGATAAAAATACGATTGAGGAATCCCATTGTAACGAAACAGATAGAAAGCATTACAGAAAAATGGTTAATGATTGATTATTAATTAAATATTATCGAGCAGTACCGTTGATGCCTTTGCTAATACGATCGGAGTATGTCGTTTCGCTTTAATAGTAACTTTATTCCACCTGTATATCAACGAAATAATTTATATAATATATAACGAATGTCTAGGCTTTATGGAGTAATATACCATTCAAAAAAATTATGGAATTAGGATATTTGTGTCGA